TGTACAGCATCTCTTTATACAGAATTTTGCCAATTTATAAATTTACGCCAGCACTTACAAGCTTATCGCGCTAGCCGTCTTAGTATGCCAGTGCATGCATACGATGCGCAGGAAAACATTCAGGTAGCATCCAGGAAGTTCGTAACGTTCTCTACAGAGTATGTATAAGCCCTACCACATATTAATAGCAAAGCAAAACAACATGTTAAGACTTTAGGGAAGTAAGCCAAGCAACGTGGATGCGTGACTAGCTGCTCCCATTACCAAATCCTCAAAAGGAATGGTTTACCATACAGCACGGGATGTCACCGGATGACTCTACAATTACACTCAACAGAACAGCTACCGGTCTACAAGCCACGCACGATATTCGCCGGCTGGCTATCAACAGCATACTCTCTGGCACCCTTGCTACCGGATATAGCCGCCGGATTTGTTGCTTTACGCTAGGAGGACACTGACTAATTTATTAGCTGTCTAACTTTACACCGTTGCTCCGTACTCCATACTCCGTAAATTGCAGCTATACTTGTACACACACAAGGGTTTTAACCCGGTATCAACTTTACTGCCTTGCATTTCGTTAGCATATAAGTGGGGAAACAATATAGCTACTTCTTTCAGAATGCAGCCCTGTTCTACAGTCTTGTTCTGCAGCGTAATCTTATTCTGTAGTATAGTCCTGTTCTACAGTATAGTCCTGTTTTACAAAGTAATCTTATTCTATAGCGTGGTTTTATGCTATAGTATAGTCTTGTTTTGTAGTGTAGTCCTGTTTTGCAGCGTAATCTTATTCTATAGCGTAGTTTTATGCCGTAGTGTAGTCCCGTTCTGCAGTGTAGTCTTGTTTTACAATGTAACCTTATTCTGTAGCGTAATTTTATGCCGTAGTGTAGTCCCGTTCTGTAGTGTAGTCTTGTTTCACAATATAACCTTATTTTGTAGCGTAGTTTTATGCCGTAGTGTAGTCCTGTTCTGCAGTGTAGTCCTGTTCTGCAGTGTAGTCCTATTCTACAAAGTAGTCTTATTCTGCAGTCCTATTCTGCAACCCTGTTTAGCTATACGGAGTATGTTCTACGATTTTAAGCAAGCCGTAATTTTTGCGTACTTGACTACATACTATGTAGTACGTGAATACTTCTAGTACTCGAACGGTTCGACCCTTATAAGTATAGGCAAGTGATCCTATCCGCCCCCACCAAAGGATGTATCTATAGAACTAGACAAGTATTCTTAATTCCCCTAGTATGCGACGTTCAAGCAGCATAAATAGAAGGGGCTAGCACGCCCTTCTCCTAGAAATTCATAGGGCTAAAACTGGTACTATTTTCCAATTTCCCTTCCTCCATATATTAAGCCTTCGTTAGACAGATCGATCATCAAATGTATACCTTCAGCGTCCGTGTATACACCTGCGGGCACTATAAGAAAGCCTTAAGGACTCCCTATAACGCCGCCAAAAAAGCGGAACACCCCTGTGATCCTGGCACAGAAATTAATTCCACAACAGGTGGATAGTGTACTTTATCAGACTGCGACAAGAAAGCAATAGGGAAGCGAGAGGGCCCAGGTAAGACGTGCAAAGTGGTGATTTTTTGTTTTTAGACTAATTTCCTTTGACAAAGGCACCCATTACAATGGAGGGTTTGAGTCTTAGAATACCGACTGGTCAAAGTTTTAGTTATTTTGCCGGCTAAACTCAACTGCCATCTGAAATTAGGAGATTGTTCCAGTTTCATCCACTTCCCCATCTGTCCTTATTTGTAGTAGTTGCGAGTTTCCACATCTTTGCTTCGAAGCTTCGGCCATCTTAGACAAAACTCTGCCGACTGCCCATATGTCATTCTCTTTCCTGTTTTGGAGGCTTGTTGAAAGGGGGTCTAAAACTTGCTGCATTGCAGGCGACAGCCACTCGCGCGTAACACCGCCAGCTCCACCCACGTCAATAAGAACCAAGTTCCCGTGCTCGTCGATAACCATATTAGAAGGTTTAATGTCCATGTAAGTAATGTTTAGCTAATAGAGAGTAGAGACTGCATTGCAAAGTTGCGCCGCCTAACGTTGCCAATCTGCATTAGGTTCTGCGTTCTGTAAAGCTGTCGCAAGAGTCCCGCCTAGGTGATATTCTAAAAGAATACCACGTAGGACTTTTTGGTGATGGCAGGTCCTTGTGCTATACGGTGAACAAGAAACGACAGCGGCAACAAGTTGAACAATATTGGCTTAGCCACCAATACTTTCAAGGACCTGCAGCTCCTTTAGCAATGCAATACTATCTTAGGGTCTATACAACAGCCTCTCAATTTTTTTCAAAATGTAAAGTTGTTCCCCTTTAGATGTGATCCGTGCAATGAAGACCCCCTCACTAATCTCGTCAATTAGGCAAACTTCTAAAAAGTTGACCTGTTGGGTTTTGGTGTTGGTGTAGAACGGATAGTGAAATCGGACAGGGTCCTCACGCAAAGTAACCCAAGTTTCCGCTGGAAGAGTACAGTAAGCAACTTTAATTGCTGATTTGTCTTCTCTTAAACTAACATAGAGCTCTGTAACAGTGTCGTCTAGTAACGAAAATATGCTGAAGTCGACATCGTTACAAAAAGCGATCAGTGCTGCTTTGCGTGCTTGTAGGGTAGAAGCATGTATAAGCCCATACTCGATGACGACACGGACATGCCAGCGATAAGAATTTTTCCGATTTGTTGCCACTAGTCGCAGACTATGTCCTGGAGGCTTGTTTCCTCTATCGTATCTGTCTATGTAGCAACGCTGTAACAGTTTAATCGACCATGAATGTTTGATTAAAGGTTGCAACAAAGTCTGCCTTCATTTAGTAGGCGGTCCTAGGGACTAGCTAGATGAATAATCGGCACTAACCTTTTGAACTTCGTCTTGCGCAGGTTTTGGCGGCGAAGCACCGAAACTAAGAAGTCCTGACAGCAAGCCAAGAATGCGCTTTAAAACGTCAATAATCATGGCTGTTTAAAGTTGAAAAAAGTTTGATCGCACGCTTAAAGGGATGGAATTTTATGGGAGGTCTGTTGCTTAGCCACTATTTTAAATAGAGACACAGGGTGCACGTGATGTATGTATTAGGCCCGATTAGTTATATTCTATCTTACATAAAAATCGCAGACCGCTTACAGAAAGCGTTGGAATAAAAACGAGAAATCGCCACACTACATAGTATGGACCTTCTAGCAAACAGGGTTTTGCGGCCCTATGTTTTACTACAAGTATGTACTCCGTACAGAGTACTCTAAAGGAGAGCGTGGGTCCCTATACTAGTATTAAAACAGACTAGTAAGACTTCTGTATACATAGTAGGACCACAATAAATCCATACCTTGCCCTATTTAGCCTTATACTCCTTACGAGTACTGCTACTCCGTACTCTGTACAGAGTACTCGTACACACTATATAAACCTTTATAATCCTAGCAAACGCGTCTAACGTACAAGTACTCCGTACAGGCGAAAGAAACTACATAGTAGGGTACGTTTAAGTACTAACTAGGGTCCAACTAAGGAATAAATAGCAGGCCAGCGGCTTAGTTAACAGTGCGCAGTACCAATTCAAGCCCTACGAGTACTTGTACTTGTACTTGTACGTCGTACTTGTATAAGTTTACCCCTATAACCTTGTATATTTATATATATGTTTATATGTATGTTTATACATAGTATGCAGTCTTAAGCTATACTAGACTTAGCCTAAATTATAGACTAAAAGATATTAGCTAATAGAAAAAGACACGGGTATAGAATATTCTATAACGCTTCAAGCTACAAGTACTCTATAGTATAGAATTAATAGAGCTTTCCTATATCGGATTTAACGTATTCTAGGACCCATAAAATACTTACAGAATACAGAGTATATGTAAGATAAAATAAGATACTATATTGTGGATTTCCCCAAGGTCACCTGACTTGACCTCGGCCGCCGAAATTACTAGATAAGACGAAGCCCTGATCTGCGCGCATACTGCGCACAGTCTGGTCTTCAATCAGTCAACCACCAAACGAAATACCATCACTAGATCTTCTGAAAGCCTTAGAGCTTACTACAATACGTGCAACCGGTCCGGACGAATATCCCACAAGGATTACCGTACGGGTCTTACACTGGTGATCACGCAGAACGTGCGTGACAGACTAGTGGTGCACAGAGTAGAAGCCACAATATATAATCGTGCTACGCCCTATTTATAGTAAGGACCCACTATAAGGCTCACCTATTATTAAAAATAGTAGTGCACTTTTTAAGTGGGTTATAGATTATAGTAGGGTGTAACACGATTAATGCATACAGTAAGATATAAAGCTGCATATGTTATATAGCTACAGAGTATACTCCGTAATTATTTAGCACACTGCACGATTACATGGATCTCTACGATACATAGCACCAAATGGCGGTATCCGTTATAAAAAAATCTAGCTTCTTGCCTTAAATTTTGGATATTTTAAATATAATATCCCTTCAATGCTTACATTACTTCCTATTATTAAGCCGTGTACGATCCCCATTCCTAATCCGGTGACCCTGCTTATACCGATTCACATTAAAAGATCCTAGTGGGTAATAAGGGGGCTCCTAGGGCTCTTTTTGGCAAAATCCTCTAGAGCAGACTGGCTAAATAAGATACGCATCGCAGGACATATTTTCCAAAACTACAAGCGAGGCCGTCCAATTCTTTAAGCGGCTCTTTAAGCGGCGAGAGGATGCTGCAGAAGGTATTGTAGACAAACTGCAAAACTATGATTTTGGCCGGAACATGTACGTAGCCGTTGTTGGCATAATGTTGCTCTTCTTCCTTTTGTTGCATATGTTCGTAGCTGTCGTCGGAATAACGTCGCTCTTCTTCCCTTTGACGCTCCTCCTCCTCCTTTAGCTGATTTTCCCAGTGATAATAGCACCCCCAGTAATAGTCTAGGAGGCAGCGTTGGTACGGATCCATCAGCTGTCTATACGCCTCGATGATCAGCTTTATGTGCTCTTAAGCCTCTAGCAGCTGCTCGCTAGTCCCAGCCTTAATCTTGTCCGGGTGGAAGTGCAGCAGGGTCCTTCGGTACGCCGCCCGGATGTCTTTGTCGGTAATATGTGCGTTGCCGCCAGGATAATCCTGTCAGGGCAGTCCGAGAATAACGTACGGCGACATTAATTTCCTAGGCACTATCCGACCAACGGATTTGATGGATTCTGTAGGCGCTACCAGACAAACGGATTCGATGAATGCTGTGGGCGCTACCAGACCAGCAGATTCGAGTACGCTTGTGTTTGTATGTGCGGGTGCGAAGGCCGAGTTCTCAAAGAGCACACAGAGCACCAAGAAGAAGCCGCCGATGATGAAGACGAGGGTAAGGATGTCGAAGAAGAGTAGCAGCGAGAGCCGCAGGACCCGGGTCCAGGTGCTCGCTGTCTCGTCCGCAATGTGCGGACTGGCTTGGCTCAGGGCTCTGTCTCGGTTCAGGGCTCTGCGGCCATTAGTGACTCTGGTTTTGCGCAGGGCTCCGCGGTCGTTGGTGGCTCTCCTCCCCTGCTCGCTGGTGCGGTCAGTGTAGAATTCCGTGCGTTTCCTGTCCCGGATCGGGTATCTCCTAACGAAATTTTCGTTGTTGGAAGACATAATGTATATGTGGTTTCGATGAAGAGATCGAAATGTTGAGATAAAGAGTAATAGATGGAAGATAGATGGAAGGAGTAGAGTAGATGGAGTAGAGATGCGAGTGTGATCGAGATTATCGCGATATCGAGCAGAGTGTCGATAATATATGGATAGAAGATGGAGAAATAGATTAGGAAAGATGATGAATTAATATAGAATTTGAAGAGTATGCTATAGAGACAGCCCATCCCCACCTAAAGGGATAAACGTGCACCACCTAAGATGGTGCTGGAGCCCCCCGGCATCGTTACTACGAAGATAGCGAATTTCTCATCGAATTTGCCGTCTTATACCATATTGTTCATTCTTTATCTATTTCTTCCTCTGCTCTATTAAACTAACGTGCTGTTTTTTGGTGTTTGATTAAGAAGAGAAGACGGTTGGTGGTGTTGGTGATGGCGTTGAATTCGAAACTCTTTAATCTATTACTAGTATTGATAACGCTTTAAAAGCGTAGAGGCTTATAAAGACCGACTTATAGGAAGCTAAGGCATACTATAGAGCAATACTATAAAGGTATACCTAGTATAAGACCTAATTGGTTTGTTGTAAATTCTGCAATATAGAAAGGTATTAAAGCAAGACTAGCAGCTAATTTAAACCTTAATGCGAATGTTAAGGCGGCATAAAAGGCAGCGGTTAGCAGCTAACGCTAGAAAGTAGAGTTGTAAAAGACAGGAGAGGATAAAGAGCCCTGTTCTGTGTCCTTGTTGCTCTATCTTCTACTAGGACCGGTTTCAGGTCTCGATGTGTAGTACGACGATGTAGGGATTTGAGGGCGAGTAGGAGTGAAAAGATAAGCGTAGACTAAGCAAGCCGAGCCAAGCCTGAATTCCCTAAACAAAAGCGGCATTGTGTTATGTTAAAATTCGGATCTGATGGCGCCTAGATTAGGGTTATAGAACAAGAGAACAAAACCCTTGTGGAGCTTTAGGGATTTTGTCTTTAACGACTTAGCAGGTTATTATCTTTAGCTGTTTAAGGTTGAGATCAAATTCCTCAAGAGCAGTAACACTAAGGGCCTTAATCAGTTCCCGGCGAATAGCTATAGGCTCTTTTTTTCGCAGCATCTTAAAGGCTAAGTCTTTGGGATCCCAAAATTGCTTTTAAAGCAATAATTAGCTCTATCCCGAATGTCTAGAATAGGGTAAGATGTATAAAGTAATAGAATACAGAAGACAAATCTTAGCTTACTAGACTTACTACAAGTTAGAAATGCGACCTACGGTTTGTAGTAAAATCTATAGCTATCCCAAACGTGTAACCTTAGCACAGATGTAAGGATAAATCTAAGACTTTAATACAAGTCCGGGAGTAGACTTGTAATTTTCGGGAGAAATCCGTGGATATAAAACCAAAACATTTTACTAAAGTGTTATGCAATTTAACACAAATCCAAGGGCCAACATGTATGTTTTAGCATAAGTCGAGGTTGTGACTTGTACAGTTCAGCGAAAGTTCGTGCATAGAAAGCCTAGATACTTCCCTAACGTACAGAGTACTATCTAAGTATATCCCTATCTTAAGCGACGGCTATAATGTAGTAATTACATTATAAAGGGATTTATCCAATTGTTAAATCAGCGAGTTAATAAATCCAACTTAAACAGCCCTACAAGTTTATATTATATAAGAAGTATCTAGCTATACACTATTAGTTGTAGCAGGTGCAAAGTAGTGTAGATTGCTATATCTTATTATTTCTCCTTATTACAGCAGTATACATACGTCTATATTTATAGACAAATATTAAAATTCTTACAGAATAATTACTAGCTACCTTGCCTAAAAGTACATAGTAGAACCTAAAGTAGAACAGGACTACAGAACAAGACTACAGAACAGGACTATAGTGTGATAACCATATCATACGGAAGCCTAAAAGGAAGACCAGGCGGTCTGTCACGGCAGAATGCACGACAACCAGGAAGTCACAGGAACACCCAACTACGGGTTACGTGATGATACGGATAAGGATCATTGGGATCATTCATGATCCAAAATGATCCAGACACACCAGGAAGAGATGGAGGAAGGAACACAAGTATATAAGACTACGATCTCTACCACCTAGATAGCTTTCCTTACTACAGCTCTTCAGCAATCAATCTAAGTACTATTCAAAACAATAGTAGCCCTCGCAGGCTTATGACTTACATACGACAATTATGAGAATCATACACCACACGACAAAGCTTTACTGTTCACTTCGGACACACAGTTGTTCTGCTAACATAAACACCTTAACAACACCTGTTTATCACTTAGAAAACTTGTGGTCATAACATACAGAAAAAGACTACAAAACAAGACTATAGAACAAGACTACAGAACAAGACTACAGAACAAGACTACAGAACAGGACTACAGAACAAGAATACAGAGCAAGACTACAGAACAAGACTACAGAACAAGACTATAGAACAAGACTACAAAACAAGGCTACAAAACAGGACTGCACTACGGTAAATAAGACCGTAGAACAGGTTACATTAAGAAGCTAAATTTCTTCTCCACTTAAATAGTAGCAAAGCAAGGTAAAAACTAGGTTTAAACCCTTGTCGGCGTGCTAAGTGTACTCTGTACAACATTACAAGGCAACAATAGCAACTTAAACTTATCTTTTACAAAGGTTATAAGGGTAAGTTACTAGGGTACGAGTTTGTACTGCGTACTTTATACTGTTAAAAAGTTACTAGCCTACCTTAAGCCCTTGGTCGGACCCTAGCTAGTATAGAGTACTTAAACCTACCCTATATTCTTTTGCCTGTAACCGTCGTATACAGGAAAATGTAGTAAAGGGACAAGACTAGTATAGTATATGTCAACAGTAATCTAGAAAAGCTTATATTTAATAGCCGTCCTTTCTCTTTTAATACTTCTTCTTTCTTTATAACCTTTTTATTTGATACTATTAATACAATTATGGAGGATGTCAATGAGCACATGCGTTCGCCGTTTTAAAACACACAGAATAACGCAGACACAAGCAATAAGCATAACTAAGATCATCAAAGCACCTCCTAGCAAGATCTAGCAGAGTTTGGCAGCACTAGCTCGGATCATTCTTCTTTACAAGTGCCTTTACCTAGTCTCTTCGACTTTGTCATTCTTAGCCGAACAGGCTTAGTTCTAGAATTGGGCTTAGTGGGTAGACGTGATCCCCTAAACGTCCGGTCTTGGTGTCCTAAACCTTTAGTACCTCAAATTGCGCAGGTACTGGCGCGCACCCCAGGGACTTATCTTATCGAATTTCCTCTATGTGTATTGTAAGAACAATTCTATCTTCGTGGTTATAGCGCAACTGCTAACAGATAGCAAGAATTTTGCACGCATATTAAACCAACAGCTAGACATTCTGGGAGCAAGAGGACTTTCACACGTTTATCAAGCTCTGTAGGAAGATTATAAACCACAGCATAATACTGTTTCTGTTGTGTAAATGGTGTGCAAACCCAATGGATGGGTGCTTAGGATATGTCTGGCAGCTAAGACAGCTGGTTAATCAGATGTAGGAGGATTTGCTAGACTATATTGCACTTTAAAGCCCTTCGGGTAAGAAAGTAATAAGGGTATGATTTTTTTTTTTGATAGAGAGTGGTGTGTAAGTAGTGCGAGCATGTAGCATAGTACTCCGTAGATAGAAGACTAGGACAGAAGGTGCCATAGTTAGACAAGAATTAGAAAGACATCTCCTATACGGAGTACAGAATTTTGTTCGCCTTGTAACGTGGCTGACATTAATCGATCTTAGAAATTGGCCATTAGAGGACGTTAGGGGGAGCCATTACAACTTGTCAATTCTACAAATAGTATCCTAAAGCTTTGTATCGATACATTGACAGTGTTTGCATAAGACAAGCTCCAAACGCAGAGGTCTTAAACCAGCTCGCTTTTGTCTGTCGGGTATCGAACTTCTATTATATAAAATAGGTTGGGCCCCCTCCCGTACATCCAAATGCAACAATCATTCAGCCCTGACGATTGGATAAACAAGTCAGGTCTTACATGAATTCTCATCAAAGTTGTGCGTACTGCAATATTTCTGCGCTTTTGATGTATCTAACCAGAGACCTGTTTGCCTTATACAGCATTTTTTTAATTACTTTGTTATATAAAGTTCTGATTGACGGCCCTCTTAACCTTCAGAGCTATCCATTAAGTTATCATATACAAAAGAATACAACATTCTAAATCAATCGTACCTCCCGAAAGCACTTGGCTATACGGAGTACTGCAGTGTTTCCGGTCATACATACGGTTTGCAGCAACGTCTCTATACCGAGTACCCTGTTTTGTGGTCATGTTACCGACTAAGGTTTAGCGCTGCGTGACAACTTGAATAAATAAATCATACTATCTACAACCTAGGTTCTCTTTTCTCTCTGCACGCTAGTTTGTTAACCCCTTTTTACACCCCAGTTTTCTTATCTCTCTGCACGCTATTACCTTTATACGCCCCAATTTTCTTACCACGCTACATGCCAGTTTTTTTTTACCCCTTACAACGCAATTTTCTTACCACTCTACACGCATCAATTCTTTACCCCCATCGAGGTTTTTACCTCTTTTTTCACAGCAAACAATGGAACACGCTCTTAGAGAGCTAGAAAAGATCGGCCTGAAGTACATCTCCCCACAGGAAGATATCGGCTACATATTTTGTGTCGAATGCACAAATGGCTATCCAATCAACATCAGGGCCAACTCCTTTAGGAAACATTTTCTGCTGAAGCACTCAAATGACTCGGGGAGCTTTCGCTTCAAGCAGTACAGACAGATAGAAAATAGTCTGCAGCCTAAGCCGCTTGTCTTTTGCCTGCTACCGCAGCCTCCGAACGGTTGCAAGCCACTCGAGGGACTACCAACGACAAAAGGATTTCTATGTAACCAATGCGGCTACATTACGAGCTCAAAACAATTGACATATAAGCATCCGCATTCAATGAAAGATGCATGGC